TATGACAAGACCAGCCACTTCACCTTTGCGCACCCAGACAACTGCAGCCTAACTATACATGCTGACAGGGCCGTAGTCACCATATACATTGAGGGGGACATGTGCCCCCCCACCAATGCCCAAAATGTCCCCCCAATATATAACTGAAACTGAAAAACAAATATTATCTTGGAGGACATCATTGCACTTGGTTGACTATTTTTCTATGATCTTAGATGTAAATATTGCATGTTTCTTTCAGATAAAACACATTTTTGACCTGTGAATGAGTCAATGGAATTTCTTGCAATAATGAAAAAATACTGGCAATCATGTCCGCCTGGCACAAACCACATGTTTTGGACAGCTGTGAAGTGACAGACTGTCCCACCATCATGGTTCTTATATTGCCAGATTCCAGAGAGTCTCCCCTCTTCATATATGGCAGAATATGTCAACTTCCAACTTGCTATGGTGAGATACATGTAAAAATGTAAGAATTTAGTCACACAGATTTGTTTTTTTCATTGATATAAAAATTAATATAAAATACAGGCACATAGAAGGACATGAAGTGATGGCAAATCTGGTCTCCTGTGTCTGAATTTCATGTTCATTGGTCAGTCTGAACTGGTAATAATGGCCGAGCCCTCCGCCTCAAACATTTGGTTTAGTGTTCCTTTTTTTCACAAATCCAAGGTGGCAGCCCTAACTGACACAGTCACAGGAAGGAGCTGCTGATGAAATGATGAAACATCTGTTGAGGCTGCTCTGACCGGAAGCAGCACTGCTTCACATTAAATCTTTAACACTGTTCATTTATTCATCAACTAGACTCCAAACAGACTGTTCATAAAAACTACAGTTTGAGTTTAACTGAATTCAGTCTGTAAGATGTCCCCAGTCTGTCTCTCTGTGTCCTCTGTGTGTGTGTCCTCTGTGTGTGTGTGTCCTCTCAGTGTGTGTGTCTGTCCTCTCAGTGTGTGTCCTCTGTGTGTGTGTGTCTGTCCTCTCAGTGTGTGTGTCCTCTGTGAGTGTGTCCTCTGTGTGTGTGTGTGTCTGTCCTCTCAGTGTGTGTCCTCAGTGTGTGTGTCCTCTGTATGTGTGTGTCTGTCCTCTCAGTGTGTGTCCTCAGTGTGTGTGTCCTCTGTATGTGTGTGTCTGTCCTCTCAGTGTGTGTGTCTGTCCTCTCAGTGTGTGTGTCTGTCCTCTCAGTGTGTGTCCTCAGTGTGTGTGTCCTCAGTGTGTGTGTCCTCTGTATGTGTGTCCTCTGTATGTGTGTCCTCTCAGACACTTTATTCTGATGTTCTTTTGTTTGTGAGCTTTTATTGTGAAGGCCACGCACATTGACTTCCGGTCCCCACGGGTGAGTCTGGCAGCAGACCCTCCTCTCTGCGCAGATTCGAGATGTCTCCGTCCGACACCGACCCAAAACATGGAGCTGATGATGAATGTGACGTCATTACAGGCTTTATTGATCCTCATGTTTTGTTTTGATTAATTTTAATTTTATTATTTTCATTTCAATTCTTTGCTGATTATTTGTGTTCTGTCTTTTTGGAAACAACAACAACAATTATTATTATTATTATTATTATTGTAGCATAATAATAATAAGACATGTCCTGTGTCTCTGACCTGAGGACTTGTAGGACAGGTAGACGTGTCCTGTGTCTCTGAGGACAGAGCTGATCAACAGTCCTATATCTGAGTCAAGACTGAAACATCTGAACTCTGTCTGAACATGAACACAGAGACACGCCAACTGCAGGAAGTCATGTCCTCATACTGTCCTCATAAACAGCAATGTCTTTATACTGTCCTCATAAACAGCAATGTCTTTATACTGTCCTCATAAACAGCAATGTCTTTATACTGTCCTCATAAACAGCAATGTCTTTATACTGTCCTCATAAACAGCAATGTCTTTATACTGTCCTCATAAGCAACACTGTCCTCATACTGTCTTTACATTGTGATGACATCACAGACTTTTAAATCACTTTTCTGTTTTCTCAGTTGCAGGGAGGTGTTGCACATATCAAACCTGCATGGATCTCTACCTGATATTAGAAAGAGTCATGTCTGAGCTTGTCTGCAGTCGGACGTGTCCTGTCAGCAGTTTACAGACGTCTCTGTTAAAATGAAGGTCTCTGGGGAAAATGGAGGTTTTGTCAGTGTAACACTGCGAGTGGCTGCTGGGAAACATCGCAGTAGACTGAGCGGCGTTCCCAGAGGCCTGGTTACAGTTCACTTTGACTTACTGTTCTTTGTGTGACTTCAAATGTCGAATGATGTTAGAACTTGGCAAGATGGCGGCATGATGGACGCAGCGGCTTGTGGCTCTCTGTCAGTACCTTATTACTCTTCAAATCATTTCCTCACACTGGTCCAAAGACAAGAAGAGACTTTGCTCTGAGTCGCTGCGTCGCTGTCTGTAATTTCTGATCTGCAGGTTTTGCAAATTGTGATTTGTCTTGTTGTTGAGCAGCACGTAGTTTCTGTACATGAACTAAATCTGTGAGCTTTGGGAGAAGGTGTCAAGTGCCTCGAGTCAACAGGCTCAAATCCAAGTGAATGTGACTCGAGTCCAAGTCATGTCACACAGTTTGTCTTTTATTTTGTTGAAGTAAAGGATGCAGGAGTGTTTGATGATCATTTTATTTCAGCTGATTCAAAGAACCTGTGATTCATGTCATCATGACATCATCATGACATCACGGCAGGAAGCTGCGGCTGGGTTTCTCAATAAGATAAACATCTGTTGAGACTACGTGTCGTGTTTTTTCATGTTGCGCTTGATGACTCAACAGCTGATGGATGACTCA